CAGCCTGATCATAATTCATATATTCAATGCAGCCTTCACCCATATCTTTAATAGAAAAAAAACTTGAGTTAAGTGCTTAGATATGCATGTCAGAATCATTATCAATTTTGAGAGAATTTCTCTTTCGCCATTGCAAGATGAAATATTTACTTTAAAGTAATGAATAAACCTTAACAGAGTTCTATTCTTTTGTAACCACCAAGGCAAACCTTCTTGTATAAAATGAACTGAAACATACAAGCTTGCCACCTAACATGCCAAAGTAAAAAAATATAATTACAGTAGGGAAGCAAGTACCCCTTAATTATAGAAGTCTCTTACACACCTTGACTCAAAGGGAGATGTGTAGTGAGATAACAGGTAAAGTAATTGGTGGAGCCTAGGTGAACTTAAAACCTTGTGACTTTAAATTAAGAAGCACTGGGATTCATATGTGTTTTTTCAAAGATTTAACATTATTTGAAACATATATTTATTTGGGGTTGGTGTTTCCACTGTGATGACTATACTCTTTGCACAGAAGAACTCATTTACCAGTAAACGTGGTTTTGTGCATCTCTGTACACGCACTCAAAAAAGACTGTGGACGTGTTCCAAAGCTACATGCTTTCCATGGCTACATATCCTGCAAAGCTACTTAACTCTCTTAATTCAGACCACAGAAACTACGATACTCCTAAAATAAAAAGCCCGCTGCCCTGGCGTTGATACTTGTAGTTCCTTTTAATATCTACAAGAAGACTGGTCAGTCATTTAGTACTAAATTATTTAATTTTAATCTAAAAAATAGAAAAATCTAATCCAAGGGCAGGGACAAGTCGAACAATGATATATGAGTTGGAAAAAATCATTTTGCCGGGTAAAGAGTAGGCCTACTTTAAATTTCTCTTGGCGGGAGAAGAGGTCGATGCCAGTTATTTTGAGGAAATTAGAATTGGTGAAAAAAAGCTGATCGTATATCCTTATTGCATTCCACAGTGAAGTATACCTGTATCTCGTCCTCGACCGTGCCCTAGTTACAGGTTTGGCATGAAGGTCGCTCGGGACTCGGGACGTTTTGCACATATCTCCAGCTATCAATTTGTGAAGAGTGAACATTTGTTCTGTTAATGCGAGTTTTATCGAGTGTCATACGAATGTAACGTAAAATACGGCCTTAAAATGCAATAAAATAGGTGCATGATTTAGGGATATATCTCCTGATCGAACTGTTCATAATTATTTTTGCAATTACAGGAAAGACCCAGTGGCGGATTTGTGGTTAAAAAAAAAAAATTATAATAAATAAATAAATTAAAATAAAACTAACTTAGCTATGCTGTTGGTAATCTTCCGAAACGTAGGCCTACATTCATTCGTTCCTCAGTATGGTAATTTTTGTTAATGCGCGGGGTTTATTGTAGTTTTATAATTAAAGGGATAATAACTCTTCGTTTTGGCCAAAAAATGAATTTTCCAGGAATAAACAACAATTTTCCCATACTTACCAATGGTTAATGAATCCATTTTAACATTCAAAGTTAGTCCCTGGTTTTTTTCTAAAAAGTTTGGTTTTTTGTTAAAATCTCTTAAGAGATTTTTAACAGAGTATAGCCATCAATGGAGGTCACGTGGTCTAAAGACAAGCTCAGATATCAAACTGCCGTTTTTGTGGTAAAACAGAATATATTATATTTCTATGAGTTATTCACAATGTCTTTATTGTGAAATATAGATCTCATATGAAGAGTTATTATCCCTTTAACTAGTAATTCCACCAAAACCACACTAGTTTTTATACCAACAGCAGATGAGGCACAAAACACGTATTCACTCGCTTTTTTTCCAACTCCTCGCGCAAGCAATTATAATAAAAAGCTTGTTCACAACATTATACCGGCATTTAAACACAACAGCTCTTTTCACTGTTGATACCATCATCATGTTTTGACATATTCTTTTGGCTTTTCAAAATGATGTTTTTCATGCTGGTTGAAATAATTATTCGTTTTTTTACACTGTTTTCGACGAAATATAATCATGGTGTAATAAAAAGTTGCATAAATTCTTCATGTACCCCGGGTTTTGAAGCCTTTTTAAAACTCATTTCGTACGCCCTTGCCAATATTGAATTGTTGAAACTATGCTGGGCAAAGAAAAGGCACAACCAGTCCTAAAATAAACACAGGGTGATCTCGGAATAATAAGAGAGCGTGTATATCGGGAAGAATATTCATAGCAATATCATTTGCATAGTGCTTCCAGCTGAAGACTGAACGACGATATCAAAGCATGATACCAACCCCGCTGGGCTCACCCTTCTTGTTCTTTCTCACGGCTGCACTTGTCATTCTAGTGAGAAACGAGTACTATGCGTATGCCGACCAAGTAAGTATTTAATAATCAATTTGAAATGAACGATTAAAGGCATAGTAGATGATGTATTTGTGAGAAGTACGACCGGACCACTCGGCGGTGAGGATTTTGATCGCCTTTTCGCTTAATGTCCACTGCCAATTTCATCTAAATCTATAATTCCAAATGCTTCTTCCGAATAACCCTTTCGCCACTTCTCAGGGACAGAGAACGAACGGCAAATGGTGTGAATAATGCTTGAACCCTGTATCTAGTAAAGCCTAGGTCCCAACCGAACGTACGGACTGCTACGTGTGGTCTACGGCTAAAAAAATGGGGAAACGTGGGAGTTCGTGCGTGAGGAGCACGTCCATCGTGCGAATTTTGGGAGGACGCAAACAGCACTTAGAAACTTTTCGACATGATCAACAGCCGCGACGTGCGATCTAGCTACGTCCTAGCCGGACGCAAGGAACCTAAAAACCGTGCGTCCAAAACGTAGTTGGGACCTAGGCTTAAAACAGATCACCTATCTGTATCAAATTTAAGACACCATTTCTAAATTGTTCTTCCATTTTTGACAGTCCTGCAAGCAACAAACATAAAACATAAACAAAGGATTATGTGCATTTGATTAAATGGAATACACGCTTTTTATGGAAATTACCTAAAGAAAACTATGGAAATTAGCTGTACAACTCTGAGTGCATTTTGATTTTGTTCTTTATTTTCTTATTTTTTCATTATTTTGACAGTATGGAAGAATATTTAATTAAATGTTAAGCCAACAGTGACTGAATATGGTATGTCTACATGGACGAGACTGCAGAGGGGTGCTGGAAAGTATGTAGGGCCTACAGCACGGATACTGCACGCTGTGCACAATGTTCTCCATTATCTTTCTAATTATCATTATTATTTCTTTCTATTCAATTTCATTTTATATTGTTCTTTTTTAATTTTTTTTATTTCATTCTACTTCATTGTTTCTTTTTCTCCCCTTTTTTAGATTACTGAAAAAGCCGCTGCACCTAGCTCGTATTGGAGAAAAAAATTGTGGCATTTCTTTAAGTCATATGACGCAAATGATGACGGAGAAGTGGACCATCACGAGTTCGTTGATTTAACGGCCGAAAGAGGTGCCAAATTACCTTCGTGGAGAGTAAAAGCAGTGAAAGGATTTATGGAAAGCATATGGGTGACTTATTGGTTTAACGAGTTTACTCATTTCAAGACCACATTCCGTATCGAGGACTTCGTCGACCTCCACTCGCAATATGTACAGGATTACAACATGGAAGACAAGGGGCTTGACTGGTGTGAGGAATGGTTCCACATCATAGATGAAGACTGCAGTGGCGCGATTTCTATTAATGAATATTCGGTATTTCTCGTAATTTTTCGGAACGATCCGACTTCGTTCGTTGTCTCATTCAATGCAACGGACAGAGATGGAAATGGGATGATAAGTAATGAAGAGTTTATCTATGGGTGCGAGCATTTTTACCACGAAAATGAGGAATCCCCAGCATCACTTTTCTACGGAGATAAAAGAATAACGACTTAAAGTCACTCTGATCATTGTTCTTTTTCTTCTTGTGAGAAATAAATAAAATATATTTTGTCATGATGAAGCTTACATGTTACGTACTCTTGTTTGTGTATTCCCAACAGAAATTGCGAGATGTTGATAACAATACAAACTGTAGGCACGTAAACAATGGTTTACGACCTTTGATCTTTTTTTGATCTTTCAACGCGTTTCCCATCCAAATATTTTAGTAACTTTTGTAGTTCACACAGTAATATTTGAATTCAAAACCGCATTTTTTCTTTATATATTAGTTTTGATATTTTACTATTTTAATATGCCCACCACTACCAGAAAAGAAAAGAAAGAAATTAAAGAAAGAAAAAACTTTTAATTTTTAATCACTGAACTCCTCCTAAACGCATTTTTTTTCTACTTGAAACACTCCAGCTGGATGCGACTGATGAGGACCGTTCGGAAGGCTGAAGAGGCATTAGGCATACCTCTTAATACATTTAGCAAGTCCTTGCACGCCTTTATTTGTGATATTTTTTGTTGTTGTTGTCCCTTTTCCCAGGAAATGGCAAGGTCCAGGCTTTAGCTAACTGGTTGAGTGGGGCACAATAAAAAACTGGAAATAAAAATATCAAGGCCAAGGGCGCTAATAGGGACATCACTTGAAATAAAACAATATAACGTACTTCTTCTAGGGAGAGAGTAAGATTTTATAGGAAAACATTTTATAAATTCTCTCAAATGCTTTGATTGATTTGATTATTTAGTTTGTTTTTTCTAGTTTATAATTACCCTTCACCCTTAACCAGCGCGCAAACCCCTCAAAGCGAATCCAACCCACCCAGCCTCGAGACTACAAAACAGTAGGGGCCTACATACCGGTAGATTACATACACAGATTAAGATATTTTGTTTTATGAATCATACTAGATTTTTGCAAAGAAGTTTGACTAACCTTTCCAATAAGCCTCTTAAATTCCTGCAAAAGGTTTTTATGTCATGCGCAGGAAAGTGCGTACAGGAATGGAATATGGCTAATTGATTAGTTTAGTTGCTGTGTGTGCCAGCTGATTCAATGTTTGGAGAGGGCGCTACACTCGCTATGAGACTGTGACGTCACCACTGTCGCCATCTTACCAGAAAATCCAAGAGAGAGAAACTTGTGTGAAAAATATCTCGAATACCTGTTAGTAAGCTCCTAAATTGTAAACTCGTCTGCACAAATTAATATCTCAAGCATCACAGAATGACAATCTTGCCCAAAAAGAAGCAAGCAAAGGAGAAGAATGAACAAGAATCGGGTGAACATTCGCAAAGTCACATTCACGGTCACAGCTCAACAACTGTTAGCGAGCAAAGGGCAGGAAGGGCCCGAAATTCACCCCCTAGATGGAGTCATACTAGCTCTAGAGACAGTAAATTAACAACCCACGACCCAGGAGGGACGTTTGAAGAGTTTGAATCCCGAGAAGGGAGCTCTAGTCATAATAAAAGGCGTCACAGATCTCCCACCCACAGTCACAGAAGTAGAAAGCAAAGGAGCGAGTCTCGGCCGCACAGAGAAGCGACGGGGCTCTCGTCACATCCTAGCTGTAGTTCACAAAATACTGCTGATAATGAAGAGTTAAATGAAGGATATAATAGTGAAGATGAATATACCACACCCAAATGTCGGGAAAATCTAGAAGAGGTACACCTGAAGTGGGAGTGTTGAAATATTTATGTTATTATTATAAAATCAAACCCATACATGTAGCTGTAAATTACAGGTTTAGTTAGGAATTCAGATAATTTGCAGTTCAGTTTTTGTTTACTACCCATATGTGTGATATCTTACATATTTCTGTACATGATGAGCTGTTTGTCTGGCCGTCTCTTAGAAAGGCACGTAGCCAAGAAAAGGCATGCTCCATGTAAATTTGATCTAGGTATGCATAGGTTTCATAGTATAAGGTTCACTTTTTCCCCAAAAAGGACCTATTCTTTAAAATTGCTGGCTGTGGTCTGCTCTAGAAGGGCAACCTGGTTTTTCCCTTTTCATTAATCAGGCTTCATAATCATGTGTTTGACAATAGAAAATGATATTATAAATGAGATTAAGGGTTTTCCCAGCAAACCGTCTAGCCATCATTTGGACGGCCACCAGCATCACTGGATGGCCTATAGTTTCAAAGACGGCTGGACAGGTTATGGATTTTTGGGAAATGTGATGGCTTTAGGCATACTTGGACTCCTTGAAATTTTAAAGGAAATTACAGGTGGTAATTGGATGGCCTGTATGGCTGTACCCCTAATTGTGGGAAAAACCCCTAAATGAGATAAAGGATAAAATGCAAGTTTTATTAGATTTTTCAGACCCTTGCATGTGGATATTGTATGGCTAGAAGCCTAGAATTCATAAATATTGCCTTATATTTACATCTTTCTCTTTCTCAGTTAGAACAGTGGTTTGAGGCTGCACTGCAGAAGAAGCGACACTTTGCTATCAAAAAGATGAAGGAAGATGGAGCTTGCTTATTTCGAGCTGTGTGTAAGTAATGCGTACATATTATGTAAGAGCATTTGCACAGAAAAGGTTGATTTTATTTGAATTTTTTTCTATTTTGAAAAGGTACTCGGAACCTTTCATACAATAACCCTTAAAATTTTAGCATTAAAGCACTCTATCCCAAATACAGCCCTGTATAAGATTAGTGGAGGAAATTTCTGATTGCAGATTTTATTTTTCTCTAATTGCGCACTGATTTTTTTTCAGCTGACCAAGTGTATGGCGACCAGGAGATGCATTCATTAGTAAGAAAGCAATGTATAGACTACATGGTAAGATTCTTAAGACAAAATAATGGAATATGTATGTCCATTGTAACTCTTAAGCAGAATCTCCATGTTTTCCTCACCACAGTTACTAGCCCACCTATGGAGAACCAAGTAAACTATTATTTGACTGTATGTGTATGGGACCATTAAGGCTTCATTCACATGAAAAATCTATTTTCTATTCGCGGTATCTTGTGATCACGGTCTGTGCCCTGAATGCCCCGCAGCGTAAATACTGGCAGAGCGAGCCAGTTACTTCCAAAGCTGTAATTAATTCTCGGCTGTGCTCGGAGTGATCACAAGATACCACAAATAGAAAATAGATTTTTAGAAAATAGATTTTTCATGTGAACGGAGTCTAAGAATAAGTTATGTCGCCCTTGTTTATGTAGACTCAATCCACAGGGATTCTCCCTGAAACAATCACATTAAAAGACTAAAATGCCTCCTCCTGGCATTGAGAATACAGAGATACTGGTGATTATATGAGTACTTTGGAAAAAAGAGGAGACCTGCTAGTCTGTTAATTTGATTGATTTCACCAAGAGTCCCCATGGAGTTAGTTTGTATTAGCTTGGTCAGCATTACACATTTTAAAAGATCCCTAAGACAACCAGTCACATTTTCTGTTGCTTGTTAATTACTAATGTAGTAATGTGAAGTGGTCTCCGAATGTCTGGAAGCCTTCACCCCTTTTTTTTTTTTTTTTTTTTTTGCCAGATTCCTTAATTAATAAATTTTTTAAATATTAACCAGGTTTATTTAAACACTGAACTTAATTTTCAGATGAAAAATGCAGACTATTTTTCTAATTATGTCACGGAGGATTTTACAACTTATCTTAACCGCAAAAGACTAGATAGTTGCCATGGTAACCATGTAGAAATGCAGGCAATGTCCGAGTTATACAATAGGCCTATAGAAGTTTACAAGTACACAACAAGTGAGTGGCAAAAATTATTTGATTGATCTTGTAAGAGCAATTTTAGATTGCACCAGTTATTTGACAAAATATTCATGTGGAATTTTATCATTTTTGCTTGGACATAACCAGTGAAACTTTGTTTATTATTAGTTGAATTGAAAAGGATAATTATTGTTTTTAATTTTTTTATTCAAAGAACATTATCAAATTCTGCTTTTTTTTTTTTTCAGCACAAATCCAAGTGTTCCAATTCCAGGTTCAGTCCAAAGCACCCAATCTCTCACATTCTCCTATTTCTTATTGCCTCCTTTGGGCCCATAAATCCACAACACCTCCCCCAACTGTATCCATTCTGTGAATTTGTCAACAGTGTTACCCAGGAAATCCTGCTTAGCTTTTGGTTCATTAATTTTATTATTAGTATATATATATATATATATATATATATATATATATATATATATATATATATATATATATATATAATCTTTTTTCACCAATGAAAAGATCCATTTTTCAGAACCAATCAACACGTTCCACGGTGCATACAAAACAGAAAACGAACCAGTACGGCTAAGTTACCATAACAACTCGCACTATAACTCTGTGGTTGACCCATATAAAGCCACAGTGGGAGTAGGCCTAGGGCTCCCAGGGTTTCAACCGGGGGTAAGTGTGAACTGTTTGTAATTCAAAAGCAGAGGAATTATTTTCAGCTGCCATAATATACTTCGTGAAAATGAATTCAGTCTCATCTTAGAAACTTTCCTCTTGATGCCCCATCAACTTGACTTCTGCCATTCACCCAGGAATTTTTCTTTCTTTTTAAAACCGATAAAGTTTACTCATGGCAAATATTCATTTTATCATTTTTTTTTTTTTTTTTTTTTTTTTTTTGNAACTCGCACTATAACTCTGTGGTTGACCCATATAAAGCCACAGTGGGAGTAGGCCTAGGGCTCCCAGGGTTTCAACCGGGGGTAAGTGTGAACTGTTTTTTAATTCAGAAGCAGAGGAATTGTTTTCAGCTGCCATAATATACTCCATGAAAATGGATTCAGTCTCATCTTAGAAACTTTCCTCTTGATGCGCCATCAACTTGACTTCTGCCATTCACCCAGGAGTTTTTCTTTCTTTTTAAAACCGATAAAGTTTACTCATGGCAAATATTCATTTTATTATTTTTTTCTTGAAAAATTTTTTTTTTTTTTTTGCATTTTATTCATTGACAGATGGGAGGTGTATAAGTTGAGTATTTTTATATTTCAGTCTGCAGATAAAAACCTTATGAATAATGCAATAAAGCAGTCTGAAGACTTCCACATAGAGCAGGTCAGTGCACTTTCATTGCTGGTGCTCATTTTGTCATAGTCAAAAGAGCAGAATGACACCATGTTTGAGTAAATTGTCCATAGATAAGAAGTGCAATTTAAATTTTTTTCTTTCCAAATGGTGCTGATAACTACAGGTGTTAGACTAAGGTTTTTTCATCTTCCCTTAAGTGATGATAATAAAGTATCTAAACATATACATATTTTTTTTGTCTCTGGGACATGGCTGTTTATAATTTAGCCAAAAACGTGAAAATCAGATTTAACCCCATTAAGAAACCATGTTTTTATTCACTGAATTTATTTGTCATCTTCGTTTCAGACTATGTTAGACGATAAAATGCGAGAAACAGACTGGGAGCTCACCCAGGAGACCATGGAGGAGCAAGTGGCTCGCGAGTCCTACTTACAATGGCTCCGCGAGAATGAGAAAAGAGCAAAAGGACAAGCATCAGTATGATAAATTAACTTTTTACTTCATTCTGTTATAGTGCTTTACCTAATCTCAAAATGCTTGTACAGGTTTTGTTAGATGTAATTCAGAATGGACATGTTTTAAGAAGTTACTTATCGTTAAACAGTATCTTTGATTTAATTGTCATTTACTGGTCCATTGAAGACTTGTATTTGAATGTATTTAAAGTGACTGCTTTTTATATTTCTATTTTTTTTAAATTATTTGCGATATTATCTATGATAACAAAATTGTTCCATATGAAAGTCTTAAGGCTGATATTTTGTGTAATATTAAAAAAGGCAAGTTGTTTCAAAATAGATAAGAAACTAACACCGTCTCACTATGATCACGTCAGTCAACTTGTTAAAACGGACTTCTGGTCATGCTTCATAATATGAAATCTAATGTTTTATAGGTCTGGTTACACTCATATGACTCTGTTTAGTTGTTTTTTTTTACCTTAATCAGCTAGGTGTATCATGTGGATTGTAATATAAATTGATATGAAGTCTTGTTTCTTTCAGTCTAAAAGTGCCAGTGCTACCTGTAGCAGCAGTTCTATGGCAGATGGACAGTCCTTCACCTGGAGGGAAGGGCTGTCACCTGTCAATGTCACCACTCACGCTGTGCGGTCACCAAGAAACCGTAGCGCTAATAACTCCGGACAGAACAGTCCGAATAGGATGGACACTTCTGAAGCTCTGCCGTCACCCCCGCCACCCAAGCTACCTGTACAGAATGGTATGGAACCAAAATATTCCTTTGTTTTTCTAAACTTCAGCTACTTGAGCCTTAAAAGAATATTTTGCTTCGGCTTTAAATTCTAATCCTGTTTACTGAATTAGGATTAGTAAAGGGTGCAGCTCTATTCCCTCGTCTCTATATACAGAACCAAGTTCTCTGATAGAGGACACCAAGAAAAAAAAAGTGATTTTTTTGTTTAGATTCAGGAATCTTGATGGACATGCTGTTATTCTAATGAGAGTGCTGTAGGTTCTTTTTTAATTTTAGACCAAGGTGCGTGTGCTGGGTCCCCAAAGCCTGGGTCCAGTGGAGTGCTGAACCGAAGCCCCTCACCTCCTGGGGCCTGTGGGGGTGTGGCCTCTTTTTCTGAAACAGCTTCCATTATGAATCAACTTCCACCAAATGCATTTAGTAAGCATATTGAGATTACTGGTTCACTTGTATTTTTATTCTCCCAATTGAAACAAAAAATAATAATTGATAGAATTATGGTTCAATATATACTTAAATGTTCATTAAAAAAAAAAAAAGATCAGTATGAAATTACTAAAAGACCAGACCATTTATTTCCAATGTTGAACGTTCTAATATTCAATTTTTTCAATTTTATTTTCTTTTTTTTTTTTTTTGTCCTTTACATTTGGTATCATCGAAATTACTAATCCCTCAAGTGTGTGTATGTTAGTTCTGTTGTTTTTGACTTTCACTTTCACTTTCCAGACCTTTCAGACTGGGTCACTGATGATGATGACATCCTGGCTCAAGTGATGGCCCAGTCGCAACAAGAATATCTGGACAGTCTGAGGAAGAACGCTGCTGGCACAAGTAAACAATCCTCATCCAGCGGAAACAGCTAACACACACTGCAGGGCAGCATAGGTTGATATATAGGGTTTCTATTTTACACTGATCAGTAATGCTTCTAAAAGTGGGAAGCATTGTTAAGGTTTAAAGACCACTCTCATTTACACTAAAGACGAACTCTTATTAGTTTATGACTACCCCAATGGCATATTTCAGTGTTTAAAGGCTATCATAATATATGCAGCAAATGAATCTATTTTTTTTTTTTTTTTTTTCATTTTTGATGAAGGAAATGGAGGGTTAACATATCCCCGATTTTGATGGGACAGTAAGTTGAGAATTGTTCCAGTGTAGCAGGAAGCTGGGCTGGTCTATCTGCTGTGTGATCATTTTGTGTCCGTGTTCTTCACATTGTGATGAGGAATTGTGGCATTATAACATTTGATATAACACAGATATATGCAATCCCTGTCAATAGTTGGTTAAGACTTGCCCAGTGCCATAAGCCACTGTGGTATCTTTCTGATGCCGGTGTTTGTATGGAATTCGATAGTAGATGCTTGACTGAGTTTTTAGGATGAAAAAATATTCCTATGATTAAAGTGTGGTATGTCATTGAGAGTGTAGATTTACTTGTGTCCTTCCATTTCTGTGAAGTAGGGCATACTAATGAGCTTCCATGCAAGATATTTGAGTTGTCTTGTGTTGGCACCATTTGGTCAGGGGTGGTGGAGGGTGAACACTGCCATATCCTAGAATTCACTGTGGGGGGAATGGGGCACAAGGAAAACTTTTTCCTCACTCTGCTCATCAGATATAAGCCAGTAGAGGAGGACTATTTTGTAAGGGCATGAAAGGCACATCTTCACTGCTCTATTAGTTTATTTATTATGTACTTGAGTAATTGGGACACACTCAGCGATGATGTTTGATTGATGGTTTTTGTGCTAGTGACTTTTCATGTTACTTCTCACATGTCATTTAAACCACATCATATTTGCTTTGCTTTGTTGTTGTAGGTAAATACTTAAAACTGCTAAGATATACAAAGGTTTGCTGACCCCCTCCCCCTCTGAACAAATTAGATAGCAAGTGATTAGTTGATGGAAAAAAGTGCATTTGGAAACTTGTCACATATATAAGAATATCCTGTCAATGGTGACACCCCTACTTTGCTTGCAGAAAAGAACCTTTAAAAAGTTGCTGGATTTTGAATAGAAATATTTGTGAATGGGAAAAACAGTAGTATTTTTTTATGAAATGTGGTGCCTGTTTTAGGACAAAAGGGCAAGGCCAATGTGGCCAAAGTTTTAGGCAGATACTTAACTTATGTGGACAACA